GCTCAGCCCACAATTTTTCAGGTAATCATCACTTAACCTACTGCTGCTTCTGCATCAGCAACCTCCTGACTCAGTAAACCACTTTCTGGCTCCCACTTGCAGGCTGAGCCCCACAGACTCTGGTTTGGTCATTATTAGACCTTTTAACTCAAATAAAAGCTACTCATCAGGTTCTAGACCTTTCCTGGTAATCCAAATCAGGTTAACTTCTTCATCTTTTTTTTTTTTTTTTTTTTGAGACAGAGCCTCAAGCTGTCCCCCTGGGTAGAGTGCCATGGCATTACAGCTCACAGCAACCTCCAACTCCTGGGCTCAAGCGAGTCTCCTGCCTCCGCCTCCCAAGTAGCTGGGACTACAGGCACCCGCCACAGCGCCTGGCTATTTTTTGGTTGCAGCTGTCGTTGTTTGGTGGGTCCAGGCTAGGGATTCGAACCCGCCACCTTAGGTGTACGTGGCTGGTGCCTTAGCCGGTTGAGCTATAGGCGCCGAGCCATAACTTCTTCATCTTTTGTCAATTCCTTACAAGTGCTAGAGAATCTACAATGAGGAGAGCTAATGAAGCAGCTTCAGTGTCCTAACAGTAATTATTATTCTAGTTTGCAAGCCATATTGCCACACATCTCATAATTATGATTTTTCACTATTCTCATTGTCTTTCCAGAGCCCAGATTAGACTATGTTGTCCTTCTCTGTACTGTAATAGACAGTACCCCTCTTATCAGAGCCTTTATCACATGGCCCTGTAATTCCTTGACTGTCTTCCCCCATTGCACTTCTAGTTCTGTAATGCAAAGATCTGTGTCAGTCTCATGCTGAATCCAGCATACTTAAATGTTACAGAACTCACTGGTTACATGAAGCATCCCCTACGTTGCCCTTCCCTGGTCAAAGGCATAGTGCCTTGAAAAGGGTAAGTTAACTCCTGCTTGATCTTCTGGTTGCGCACGTGGCATGTAGATGTGAGAGCCAGGAGAGCAGGAGCCAGGCCAAGCTTCGCTCCCCATGAATACCCAGCATCTAACACCACTGTTGTCTCAGGGTAGATGTTCAAAAAGCATTCTGAGAATGAATGAATGAATTATACCAATGAAAACCCAAATGAAGTTTCATGGAAGGAGCATTTTCTTTTTCATTTATCTATTCACAGGTCCAATGATTATGTCTAAGGGACAAAGATGCATTTATGATACAGGGGGAATACTAGGCTTAATAGTACAATTAGAAGGAGCTCTTAACTTCACATGGGGCAGGAGGGGGTGAAGGGTGAGGGCAAGCTTATCAGGAAGGTGGGTGATGGAGGAAGTATTAGCCAGATAGCAAATGAAAAGGCTGGATGTAAGGAATGAAGGGATGGGAATGGGTGTTAAGAATTCCAGGTCAAGGTAAGCAGATTATGATCTAAAGTTTCAAGGACAAGAGAGAGCTTTGTATGGTTTCATGAAATTTAAATAAACAGGATACTGCTAAGAACTGGGGGTCAGGATGGAGGGGCAAAATGGGTGTGGTGATAAATGAGGCCTGAGACCAAGTGGCTCAGTTTCAGGAATTATGGAGTCATCAAGGGAGTGAGGCTGCACCCTAAAATGAATAACTAGTGATTTAGCCCTAGTGACTAAAGGACTGTCAGAGTAGGGTGACATCACCAGATTTATGTTAGGAATAAATCCCCTGCTGAAGAGTGGATTAGAAGAGATGACAGTATAAAAACTAGGCATGCTTGGTTGAAGATATGATGGTGAAGACACAGCTGTCATCAGAGCACTGAGGCAGGGGGAACAGTGTCTAGATGGGCTCATATTTTTAGACAGTTGGGACAGAACCAACCTAACCACAGGAGAGTGTGTCAAATGCCATTTTATTCCTCAAAAGCCATTGCTTTTTCTCTTTAGGCCTCTGCCGAAGGCTATTAACTGATGTTAGGATTGACTGGGTGTAAATGCAGAGATCTGAGAAGATCTGGTTTCAAGCCTTCTCCCTTGTGAGATGAGGGTCAGTGGGGAGAAAAGGGATTAGAGATACCAAATGGAGACACAGCAGTGAGTTGCTGATGGACACATGCATGTGGTGCAACAGATGCTACTAAAGACAGTCTCTCCCTGGTTGTGCAAATGTTCAGTGTATTTGTGTGTCAATCAGTGACAGGGAGCTGGAAGAAAACTAGGATCTGCCACAGTGGATGGAAGAGAGGAGGCAGAGATGTTTATGCTTCAAAGATGGGGGCAGAGATCAAGAAATTTTGAGAAATAATGAATTAAAATCCTTTATATACTATTATCATAAGGATCAATACTTCATTGTGTTATATTTTTTGCATTTGTGAAAATAAAACATGATCAAGCCAGGCACAGTGGCTCACAACTGTAATCTTAGCATTCTGGGAGGCTGAAGCAAGAGGATTGCCTGAGCTCAGGAGTTCAAGACCAGACTGGGCAAAGCAAGACTCCATCTCTACTAAAAATAGAAAAACTGGCTGGACATTCTGGTGGGTGCTTGTAGCTCCAGCTACCTGAGAGGCTGAGATAAGATGATCACTTGAGCCCAAAAGTTTAAGGTTGCTGTGAGCTATGATGATGCATCAAGACACTACCCAGGACAGCTGAGTAAGAATCTGTCTCAAAAAAACAAACAAACACAGCCATCATGTTTTACATCTAATCACTCCAGACTCTGTGGAAACCACTGGGATGCAGAGGCTAAAGAAACACTAATTACCCTCACCCCCAGAGTACATGATTGAGTAGAAAAGGTACACACAGGAGTCATTAATACCTCACATGGTAAGTAACATAATAGACACGTGTTCAAAGAGCACAGAGAAGGATTTATTTCTAGTTGTTTAATTGTATTTATATAGTTCTTTATGGTTGACACTATAAATTGACATTGGGGAATAACTATGAAAAATCTTATACAATAATATGAACACTAAAATTCCTGTAAAATCTATAATCTTCCCGGCCATTACAGGAGAGGCATAATTTCTATGAGAACATATGGGTGAGGTGTAAAAAAATGAGATGACCTGATGGAGCTACTGGTACCAGATGATCAGGGTCATCACCCAGATCAAAGGGCATTTCAAGTCTAGCCTCTCCTGTGACATCACACGAAGTGTCTTTTGTTTAAAATTTATATTCAGATTTAGGTTTCATTTCAGGACCCAAACCTTGTCAACATTTTCAGGCACTGAAACCTGTAATGAATTTAAGTTCCAAAGAATGTTCTTTTGAAAATAAGTCTCCCATACTACAGACTCATTTTGCAGATGTGCTGTGCCCTAGAGGCCACGCTCAGGAATCAGAGAAACCTGGTTCAAATCTGACTCAGGACTCCTGCCTGTGCCATCTTAGCCAAGTCTCCATAGCTCAGGTCCTCAGATCCTCAAGTGACAGGCTGGGGAAGTAGATGTCATGACAAGGTGTAAGAAAAGGCCCTGATCTGCTTTGCTCACTGGGCCCCATCCCTACTTACCACCACCTTAGTCCAAATTACCATCTTGGTTTTTTTTTTTTTTTTTTGGATTTTTTTTTAGTTTTTGGCTGTGGCTGAGTTTGAACCCGCCACCTCTGGCATATGGGGCTGGCGCCCTACTCCTTTGAGCCACAGGCGCCCCCCCCCCCAAATTACCATCTTAAAAATCAAAATCCTCAACATGATTTATAGGGCATTCTCAAAGTGCAGGTCATGAGCCATTCATGGGCCATAGGAATGATTTTGTGGGTCACCACTAGCATTTTTTTTTAAGGGAAGTAGAACAGAAACATGAAATTGCAATGCTTATTGTAAACATTAGAATTATTTCATGAAACATATTTTTCCTCGTGGGCTTTGCCAAAAAATGTTTGAAGGCCTCTGGTCTATAGTCCCCTGAATGATACAACCCTGTCACCTTCTTTAGCCCCATTTTCCATAATCTCCCCCAATTCTCTGCTCTTCACCTACACCAGCATTCCTCAAGTGCCTCTGGTATATATCAATATTCCCTTCTGCAGAGACCTCTGAGCGCTTGCCGTCCTCTTTCCCTGGTCAATGTCGTTTTCCAGGTCTCAGCTCAGAGGCCAGTCACTTCATGAAAATCTTTCTGAACTATCTCCTGATCCCCTGTGAGAATTAGGTTCTCACAGGTTGTTAGTTTGTAATGATTCCTTTAATAGCATGCTCCTTTGCTTAACGGCAAACTTTCCCACCAGGGTGTTGCCTTTGTGACCATAGGGACACAAAGTGTTTACCACTGTTAATAATCCAGCGCCCAACGCAGGGCGGCACCTAGGCATTCAGAGGGATGAATCAGCCTAAGATGCGGGCCGGCCCGCCTTTCTCCGTATCGGTTTTGTTTTAACTCTGGCATCAAATAAACCACAACAGAGCTATACTGTCTGTCCAGGTTGGGAACGTTCTTTAGTAGGATTACTTGAGTCTCTCAGCTTCTGACGGGGTAAAACAATCAATCACAAAACCCAAAAAACCCAAACTGCAACAAAGCTGTAGACCAGGGCCAGCCGTTGAGCACTTCGCTGCAGAGAAGACAGATCTTCATTTAGATTACAGAGGAGGTCGCGCCCATTTGGTCCAACAAGCTCCAGCCCTGCGATGATCTCACCAACCGCGGGCGGGCTAGCCCTTTGCACGGATGAGAACCAGAGGAGCCCTGGATCAGGAGGCTTCCTGGCACTCAGGCTAGGCGACCGTCCCTTCCCAGCCCCTGGAACCAGGCCGACCACGTTCAGACCTTCCACTCTTGGCAGCGCGCGTCCCTGTGGCGCAGCGGCAGATGACCTGCGTGTCCCAGCCAGGGGACTGGCCCGCACCGCGGAGCCCAGGCCCAGAGCCTGCGCAGCCATCTTCAGGAGGGGCGGGAGGGAGGGAGGCGCGGCCTGGGACGCGGGCCCGCCCCCGCGCAGGGCCCGCCCCGCCGGGCTCCGCCCCGCGCAGCGCCCGGCTTCCCACTTCCCTCTCAGCCCCTGTCCGCCGCGTCGCCCGCTCCCGGCCCATCCCGGCCAGCCGCGCTCGCAGAGGCCGCCATGGGCACCGCGGGCTGGCTCGCGCTGGGCGGCCTCCTCGCCCTGGCCGGGCGGCTGGAAGGCCGGCTGGTGGGCGAGGGGGAAGCCGCCTTCGGCGAGTGCGACAAGTTCTTCTATGCCGAGACCCCGCCCGCGGGGTTGATGGCTGATTCCCACGTGAAGATCTGTCAGCGCTCCGAGGGCGCCGAGCGCTTCGCCACCCTGTACAGCACCCGGGACCGCATCCCCGTGTACTCCGCGTTCCGCGCGGCGCCCCCCGCGCCGGGCGCCGCCGAGCAACGCTGGCTGGTGGAGCCGCAGGTAAGCCCGGCGCTGCCAGAGCCCGGCAGGCACGGGGCGGGGCAGCGGGCTTGTCCCCAGGGACGCTTCGAAGCCACAGCGAACGCAGGGCCCGAGAAACTCGGTTCCTTCCACCCCACTGTACCCCAGGGGTTACAGCCTGCCTCGCCTCCTGCCGAAGCTAGAAGAGCTTGGCGATTTGGAGCCTTCGCTTCGCGAGCCACAGGGGCGAGAGGTGTCTCGTGGGAAGTGGTCCTCTCCGCATTTCGGCCCGGGCATCTGCAGTGTCTCCTTGGTTTCCTGAATAGAGAGGAGCGTGAGGCAGAGACCCAGACCATTCAGATCCAGAAGCCTGGACAGGACGCTCACAGGTCTTGGCGCGCGCACGTCTTTGCAGTAGCATTCGTCCGGGCGGGGAGGTGGGCATTTTCATCCCATATGACAGAACAGGAGATCGAGGCTCAGGAGTTGAAAAGACTTTCGAAAGACCACCCAGTTGTAAGCTAGGGCAGGTCTTCTGGTTGGAAATTCTCTGTCCTTTCTACTAGAGAAATTTCCCTTCTGCAAAGACCACTGTAGCCTGGAAATCCTTCTCTCTGTGTGCAACATTGAGTGGATTCTATCTGAGGTGGTGTTGAGTTAGAGCAGTGAAATAAAGATAGAGATGTTTAGAAGGGCAAGGGGATAGTTACAAATAGTAGGGAAACAAGGGCGCCTCCAGCTGAGGAGACAACAAACTGGCGTTTCCTGACTCTTCAGATCTGTGTTATCAGACCACTTGGAAATCATGTCACCTCTTGTGGTCTTCTGTGCCATCTGGTAATGGTGACCAGACACTCCAGGAGGCCCCCAGAGGCGCTGCTGAACCTGCTGGCTTGCTCTTAACACACCCTGGCTCACCTCTGTTCTGTCGGCCTCCTCTGGAGAATGCCCTGCCCAGGTCCCCCTTCCAGACCCCCCAGCCTCCCACCCCTGCCCTAGCTGTCCCACCTCACTTTTTTTCTGATGGCCATAGCTGCCCTGGACCAAATCCCTGAACAGGCTTGCTGGTGCTTCATTCAGAGCTGGTGGGCTGTAATCTCATTTAGAGATTTCTAGCTCTGAGAGCTTTGCCCGAGGCTCTAGCAGTCGGTACCTCATTTCCTATGTCCTCTACACCCCTCCACCTACCTCACCTGTTGGTATCAGGACCTATAAGATCAGGCATGTGAAAACACTTTGCACATCGTACACTCTTAGGACATCTTTTAGTCTGAAGTCAGTCTTCCTCCAGCCACACCCCTAGAGCTGGCAGTGTGTCCCCTGTACCTCATATGGATTGTGACTGTGTGCTTGGGAAGAAAACAGACAACCTGGTGCTTTCCTCTTGGTGATCTCATGGACAGCTCTGGGAGACAGAACGTAATTGTGAGGAAGTCCTGGGAATGCATGCTAAATGAATTTCAGTGAAATTCAGAACACATTTAGTAATCACCTACAGTATGCCAGATATTTAGGCTACCAGAGAGAGTTGAGTGTAGCTCTAGAACTTAGGGGCTTCCTGGTCTTCAGCGGGAGTTTGCTGGGTGGAGCAGTAGCACAGCTTTTGATCGGAATCAATTCCTGGACTAAGCTGTACACTTGGGCAGGTTAACTTGGAGATAATGGCATAGGGAGGTTGTGAGCATTCAGTGAGTTCCTATATATAAAGTTCTCAGGGAGGTGCCTGACATATAGGTACTGGCTATTGTTATATGGCATAACTTTATAAAGGTAAGCCAAGTCCTATAGATTTAATCTGTCTTTGAGGTGATAGGGGAAAGCTTTAGAGTCAGGATGACATTTGTGTTGTGCATTCAGAAGGGAGATCAGAAGGAAGAGTATATTTCAGCAGAGGGAACATCATCAGTGAGAAATGTGTGGCAGATTCAGGGATTAGTGCATACTAATGGTTGGGCAGGTGACCTAATACCAGAGAGTAGATTACAGTCGACTCAAGTGCTTAGAGTAAAGGAGAATAGTGGAAGAGTCATCAGGCTCAGGGAGGCAGAGCCATTGATGCAGTTACTGAAGAACTGAGTCATAATCCTTTGTGACTTGGCAGAGAGAAGTGGAGGAACCAAGTCACATGGCAGTGGAGACCCTGAGTGGGGTCATGAAGGACAAGACTGGGAAGTTAAAGAGGATGGGGAGGGAGGAGGAAATGGCAGTGCAAATAGCAGCTTGAGAGGTGGGATGTCCAGTAGTTGTGAGAAGCACTGGAGGCCAGAGTCGCCAACCCCCTGGAGGAGTCAGAAAGGAAAACCAGGGCTGAGCACTGCAGGGAAATGGGGCTCCCTGCACCCATCTCCCCAGTCTCAGGTCAAGTCAGCCAGGAGCCAGAGAATATTAAGAGGGAGGGAAAGATAAAAGGAGGGAAGAGGAAGCGGGAGATGCAGGAGACTCCAGAGCATACTGCAGCAATCCTGACCTGCTGCTGCTCGCTGAGGCAGTCTCACAGCCAGCATCCCCACTGCAGAAAGCTGCTCTGGGCTCAGTGTGCACTTCTGGCTGCTTCTAAGTACTTTGTAATGCCCAGTTGCCTTATGCCCAAATTGCCGTAATGCCAAATTGACCGTTTCATGAGATTATTGCCATCAAGAGGCCTAGAAAACAGGGGAGGAAGAGGCAGGAAGTCAGAGAAACTTAGTGCTCACCTCCAGTGATGAGTTAGACAGGCCTGTGCTGACACTGGGATCCCCAAAACCCAATTCAGCAGTTTTACAGACCCTTTGAAAAAAAGCTCCTATGTCAGAGATCACAAAAACTTAGTTACTCCTATGCTTAAAACCTCTCGGATGTTAGTGACCCAACACCTACAGGACAAAGATCAAACCCCAGAGTGCAGTTTATGAGGCCCTCCATGGCCTGGCTCCTGTGTCACCAGGCCTCACCTTCACATTTTGTGTTCTAGCTTTATCAAGCTGCCCAGAGTTCCTCTCATATACCAGACTCTTTGTCCCACCTTTCTTTGTGTATGTGGAGTCTCTTTGCCCCAGTGCCCTTTCTGCACTGCCCCTACACTTCCTCCCCTCCTCCATCCTTTATGACTCCACCAAGTGGTTACTTCTTTCAGGAAGAATTCCCACCTGAGCTAGATCCACCTCCACAGTTTGGTCTACTCCTTAGGTGCTCCTGTAATTTCTCTATTTTAGCAATTACCATAGTATTTTTCAGTTACCTCTTTATGTGTCTGTCTGCAACTTCAGCCCTTGAAGGCAGATAACTGTGTCTAACTTACATTTATATCCCTAGTGCTGAGCACATAGAAAGCATTTGGTAAATGTTGGATGAAATAATTTGACGTCGGGAGGATCAATCAGGCAGCAGTGGGTGAGATGTTCTGCTTGAGTTTCTTCAGTGGGGAGCTTCTTGTTTCAGAAGCCTGCTTCATGGCCACCTAGCAGCTGCTGTTACAAATAAGCTCTGTTTGTAGAGTTGGAATCTTCCTCTGAGCCCCCCCCCCCCGCCCCCGAGTCCTAGCTCTGGCCTCTGGAACTATCCCAAGTCATTTACATCTCTTGTCAGCTAACAGTCCTTTGGCTTTGGATACAGGATCCCATGTCTGCCTGTGTTGGAAGGATTTAAAAAGGATCTTCTGAAGGATAGAATGAGAAATTTAAAAGGGAACAGAACAAGTAGAGGGCTATTGTAGGTTTTATGTGGAGTATAGCCACTTTTAATTGAGAATGGAAAAAGGCATGAAAGAGATGAGGGAACATGTCTCCATCTGGCATGCTGGAGATGGTTTGGAGGGTTTCCAGTCAAGAATCCAGAAACCTGAGAACTGGATTCTGGTGTAGCACAGGGAGCCTCAAACATGTGAGGCCCCAGACAACTTTCTCTTTAATGGAAGATTTTTGAGATAAGGTACCAAGGATGCCTTTCCAAAAGTGCATTGCCAATGCATGCCAGAAGCCAACATATAAGGCCCTATCATTTTACAAATATGAGCACTGAAAGAAACTGGCCTTATATTTAGCAATAACATTGTATAGTTATTTAATTTACAAAACCACTGTGAAGTCTATGTTATCCATTTCATTGTAGAGATGAAGAAACTGGCTCAGAGAGATTTATTGAGGCACCTAAGGTCACACAACTTATCTTTGAACTCCTGACTGATTGCTCTAGGTCTCCTGCTCTACTGATACATTGTAGAGGTTCTTTGACCCTGTAGGGCATCCATTGCATTAATGGTTTTCGTACTTTAATTATCATCCTTTATATGAGAATCCTAATCTCTACTCCATTTCTGTTTCCCCACAGTCATAGCACAAATGGGAGCACATATCTGGCTATGTACGTGTCACTCAGGTGTCAGTGGCTTTGGAGTGCCACTGGTTAAAATTTCCTGGTTAACTGCAAGAGCATTTTCTTAGAGGGTATAATAAGATCATATTTTAAATCTCAGTAAATGCACTTGCAGAGTTTTCACAAGTTAGAATCTTGTTTAAGCCCTTGATCTTTAATTTTTATCAGTGGCTTCTTGATTATGCAACCTGAAACCCAAAATAGAAATAGTTTTAGAAATATTGTTTAATTTATTTTAACTTAAGCCCTTTTTTCATTGTGTCAGAGAACACATAGACAGAAGATGTCATATTCTTAAATTTGTAAGGAATGCAGTGAATGGAACAGTTCTGATTCTTCCTTACTAGTTAAGAGACTTAAGTTCCTGCTCTGCCATTTACAAGATATGTGACCTTAAATTCTTTCAACCTTATTTTTCTGATCTGTTCATTAAAGGTAATGATGGTGTTTACATATAGAGTGTTTGTGACAAATAAATAAGATAATGCACACATGCGTGTAGCATGCATGATACCTGGATCATGGTAAACACAGTAAATATTAATGCATATACTTTATAAATGCCTTTCTCTAATAGGTGCTCATCATGCACAAACACACACACTTATAAAATGTTGATATAGACAGATGACACCTACCATTGTATAAATCTCTCCTAAAATATAAAGCATCCACCTGTATATCTTCTC